CATATGCCAACCCTCATTCAGGGCTGGGGGTTTAACCCCAGCACTTCACAGAGGTGGAAGAAGCAGTAATTCATAATAATGTGAGACCGCAGCTATCAAGAAGCAAGGCAAATAGCACAGTGGGATAGCAATTCAGAGACATTCCCATCTCTGTAGGTGTTTGCTCCCAGGAACTGCAAAATCCAAGCACAATAGGAAGCAACACCTTGACTTAGCCTTAAGAAACACCCAGGTACAAATTCAGAAGTGAATATGTATCATTAAGTTGGATGTCCAAGGAACAGATTTGGTATCAAAAAGTAACAATATGACACAAGCAGTTAAAGAAGATTATTTTAATAAAATGAGGAAGTTAATCAACTCCCTAACATTAAATCTGTATAAATGTTATTTGAGAGACCATTGTTTTCCAGAATGCATATATACATTTACAATCAGCTCCTGAAGCATGAATGCAAGAAACAAACTTCCAGAGTTAAGTGTCAAAGGGATATGGGACATTCAAGACAAACAGAAAAAAATACCCTCCAAATTTGGAAATCTGATGTTTAAGAAGACCTTTATGCACCATCATGCCAATAATAGAATGAAAATTAAAAATATAGAAATTGATTATGAAGAGCAGACAGAAGGAAGAATGAAACAAATTCTTTGAGGTTATCAGAAGATGGAACCCTACCAAAGAACTGGTGGGCTCTATGGTCCATCAAAAGTTACAGGACAAGAGGAAGACAACAGGGACATTGTTGTGACCCCAGGAAATATAATTGCTGAAAGTGAAGAACTTCTTAAACTAGAAGTTTAAGACCTTTCCTGGTCAGAAAGGCAAGGGAGAGAACAAAAGCAGTGATGTAAATCAGTGTTAAACTATATTTTAAAAAATTATTAGGCCCCCAGACTCAGATGGCTATATCCAATGAGCTGAATTTAGGAAGTGACTAAGCTGCCAAGAAAAAATGTGCAATTTCATTAGAAACAGTTATTGCTCCAGAGGACTGGTGTATAACAAATATAAAATACGTGTTTAAAATGTTTTAAGAATAATGTAGAAAAATTTAGAGAAGCGCAATATGGATCTTACAAATTATCTCGTGCAATAGCTTAAAGAATACTACAGAAGACAAACTAACAGAACCACAGCTTAAGAGCACCTACCACTTTTTTTTTTAAGAAAAACATCCTATTAATTTCCTTTTGATTCTTTTCCCCTTGTTTCTTTGAGAAACCTTTATAAAGTGGTAGATAACAGTCAATCAGTCAAAATAACGTAGCTAGACTATCAAAAAACCTTAGGCAAGGTAACAGACAAAAGCTATTAAAGGAGGCAAGCAGGAAGGGGGTAAAACACAGAGTTTCATCATGGAGTAGAAGATGGACTCTGATAAAGACAGAGATATGAGAGATGTTAATCCCTGCAAAGTTAGCAGAGAGAATACTTAAAGGATGCTAAGCCTGTTCATGTTGATAATTGGGTTGGTTGAACCCAGGACAGGATAAGATGTTAATTGACAACCTGGTTTCATGGTTACAGCTGTGGTCCTCTCCTCACCTCTCTGTCCCACCTCCACCCTTTCCCCTCACTGTTTCCCTTCCCAAGGCAAAAGACCTTGGGCTAGCCCTCACCCCTTCATCTCTCAGAAGCTTGTTTTGCCTCCGTATCTGAGAAGCCTTGGATTGGCTGAAGACAAAAGCTGCAGAGGTGAACATGAGATCCCATTCCTTTCCTTCGGCTAGTCTAAACAGGATGTCTCACAGCAAGAGGACAGTAAATTTCCACCAACACCAAGGCATGGTTTAGTGTCCCAAGCAATGTAAGTTTAGAAGCTATGAGTGGAAAATTCCCAGATTTTCCTTCCTGTCCATTTGCAAGTCCAAAATAGTGTAAAATATGGGCTGGCAACCTCATCACATTCATGTTAGTTGAAACACATTTCAATGCTTCCAACTATGAAACATTTCTTCCCATTTCCAGACTCACTTAGCTCATTCTCCTGACCTTCCAGGAGCCTTGAAGACCCTTTTATCATTGTGTTCTCCATGTAAATAATCCAGCACATATCAGCCTATCTGTCTCAGCTTCCCCTGTTTTCATAAACAATTTTGTGCAATAGGCTTACTCAGACTTTTGTTAACTTTGGATCAGCCCTTGTGCAACAGTTCTGTGTTGCTTAATGTGTTTATCAAAATATCTGTCAGTAAGAGTAAATAGTGAGAGAAAAAGCGCAGATGGCACAAACTTATTTGCATTGGTCAGGACGAGGGATGGCAGTGAAGAACATCTGACAGAGCTATGTATGTTAAGTCACCACAACAGCAAATGAAACTCCGTATGAAAGACTGAAAGGTGAGCTAAGCCAGGGGTAGGGAGAGGGAGAACATAACCTGTAGACCTTGCAAGTGGCACTAACCATTCCCCTTGAGAAAGGCTTGGTCACATACAGGCTAATGGAAAGCACTGCTCAGCCTATGGTTGTATTGACAAGGGAGAAGCAGGAAATTAGGATACAGGACAAATGAACTGTGTACAGAGAACCCAGATACCACTTCATCTGGAATAATGCAAGCAGACCTGCCTCTGGCATCTGTAGAAGGAATCATAAAGCTGAGAAAGAGAAGTGGGTGATCAACACAATTAGGGGCCTGGAAACACTCCCATGGAAGGACAGAAAGGTTTCAGTTTCCTGGCTTTAGAAAGGAGGTGAATGAGAAAGAGGGCAGTGAGTGTTTGCAAAATAACGAACAGCCTAGCAAGGGCAGGTTGTGAGAAATATTCTCAAAACTCAGAACAAAGTAATGGAGTTAAAAAATGGGAAAAGCAATGATGCTGAGAGCTGAGCAAGACTCAAAGGGTCTGGGTGTAAGTATCACAACAAAGTATCTGGAACTGTTGCAAAGATTTTGTGGAGAAGACAATAAGCTTCATTTTTCAGGCTTAAAGGTGGCCCTTGCTTATTAGCAATCAAGAGGAGGCCCCTCAGGATAAAGAGATGATTACTCCATAGGTATTTCCATACTTCATCCCTCCTTCCTTTGATACATCTGGTGCTGGCAACTCCCCAAAATGGGAGATGGGGCTAAGAGACCCCCTTGAGCCTGATACATTTGGTAATTCCTGACTGCCTAAGAAACATTCTAAACTGTAACTTCATTGTTATTCCCTGAGAGCAAAGAATTTCTGTGCTCTTTATTACTCAGCTCTCCATTTTAGTCCCACGAGCTTTTACCAGCCAGATGCTGCATGTGTGTGTGTGTGTGTGTGTGTGTGTGTGTGTGTGTGTGTGTGTGTGTGTGTGTGTGTGTGTGTGTGTGTGTGTGTGTGTGTGTGTGTGTGTGTGTGTGTGTGTGTGTGTGTGTGTGTGTGTGTGTGTGTGTGTGTGTGTGTGTGTGTGTGTGTGTGTGTGTGTGTGTGTGTGTGTGTGTGTGTGTGTGTGTGTGTGTGTGTGTGTGTGTGTGTGTGTGTGTGTGTGTGTGTGTGTGTGTGTGTGTGTGTGTGTGTGTGTGTGTGTGTGTGTGTGTGTGTGTGTGTGTGTGTGTGTGTGTGTGTGTGTGTGTGTGTGTGTGTGTGTGTGTGTGTGTGTGTGTGTGTGTGTGTGTGTGTGTGTGTGTGTGTGTGTGTGTGTGTGTGTGTGTGTGTGTGTGTGTGTGTGTGTGTGTGTGTGTGTGTGTGTGTGTGTGTGTGTGTGTGTGTGTGTGTGTGTGTGTGTGTGTGTGTGTGTGTGTGTGTGTGTGTGTGTGTGTGTGTGTGTGTGTGTGTGTGTGTGTGTGTGTGTGTGTGTGTGTGTGTGTGTGTGTGTGTGTGTGTGTGTGTGTGTGTGTGTGTGTGTGTGTGTGTGTGTGTGTGTGTGTGTGTGTGTGTGTGTGTGTGTGTGTGTGTGTGTGTGTGTGTGTGTGTGTGTGTGTGTGTGTGTGTGTGTGTGTGTGTGTGTGTGTGTGTGTGTGTGTGTGTGTGTGTGTGTGTGTGTGTGTGTGTGTGTGTGTGTGTGTGTGTGTGTGTGTGTGTGTGTGTGTGTGTGTGTGTGTGTGTGTGTGTGTGTGTGTGTGTGTGTGTGTGTGTGTGTGTGTGTGTGTATGTCTGTGTGTATTTAAGGAACACTTCATGACTCCACAGTTCCTGTATTACCTCAGGGTTTCTCTTTGGGGATTCTGTATTAACTGGAATGTGGTTTTTCTTTTTCCCCCTCTAGTCTCCACAAGTTCAGCCTGCATCACTGAAATCTCAGACTGGACCTCAGCTTGGACAACTGTCCCAGCCACGGCCTCCTCCCCAAGGTACAGTTCTTTGGGCCCTGTGGCAGCATGGACTGACAGACCTACCCATTTGCCTTCAAATAAAAGGTTTCAGTCATTGTTCCAGTTCACTGACAAGCAGGCATCAAATTCAATGTGCTGCTAAAGCATATTCCGCAGCAGCTCAGAAAGTGGAAAGAAAATTTGACACAGATCCAGTTGATACAGCTGGTAGGACTTGGCTCAGCAAAACAAGGTCACTTGAACTGGCACAGGATTCTGGGTACAGAAAGTATTTGTGTTTGCACAAAGCTGTACTGGCTACAGGTGTTGACAAGCGATGGGAAGACGCCTGGAATAGACACCAGTGTGGTGATGCCAAGATCCTTGGTCCATCTGTCCAGGTGTTCCCCTGTCAGCAAGGGCACACCCCCAGCTCCTGTGACAGCAAAAGCAGGTTTGACTCAAGGCTGGGTCAGAACAACAGGCTTAATTTATTGTCCCGATTTATGCTGAGACGATGAAGCACAGGGTTGCCTCATGGGTACTCAGACCACACCGACCACTTAGTTCACAGGCACAATTAGACCCTCCTTTTTGCTTCGTTTGTCCCTTCCTTTCTCCACTCCAACCTCTTGTCAAATTAACACTCACCTCTAATTATCTTCTCCTCATTGGTCACAGTTTTGCTGTATCCAAGATTTACTATTTCTGACACCAAATACATTCACTTAATCTTGGTGTTATATTGTGTTACAAGAATTGTGGGCCTTGCAGGATGCTACACCCCATCTGTCTCCAGTACACCCCTTCAACTCTCCAAGTTTTTTCTCACATCACTCCCCCTTGACCACCTGTGAAATCCAGCCAGCCATCACAACGATACTGTAACTTTTGTCAGCTTTTCACACTGTTATCTGTTATGTCCAGCAATTTCTCATGTCACATCCAATCGTCTTCCACATCCTCTTGAGTTTTGAGTCTGCTACTAACACAGCTGAAGCCATCTGCTGATAATGCTGGAACAGATATATGGATGGTCATATGGTGGTCTCACATCAAATTGCTGGGCCCATGAAGGGACTGCTGACCCAAACCAGCAGATTCAGCTTTCATTTCCTGCAGAGACTCCAGCGACACTTCCTTCCCAATGATAAAAAAAATATTACTTACACAGAAGCATATAGCTTGTTCAAGTGACTCCCTCTGGGGACAGTGGCAGAGCTCCTTCGGTGCTGAAGGAGGTAGAGAAAATAACTCCAGAGACATGAGCATGTCACCAGTTTTAGGCCTGAAGAGAGGTTTTCCCTTATCCTACTGCATGAAGCTACTCTGAAGAGTTTCTCCTATTAGTGAAACCCATTCTTCCCTATCGATGCTCCTGGCTTGTTGTCCACTGCATGCACTTCCTTATCTCCATGTCTCCATGTCCCTTTCAGGTGGGCCACGCCAGCCTCAGGGATCTCAGCCTCCACGGACAAACGCACCTCCACAGCAGCGACTCTCCCCTCAAGGACAGCAGCCCCAGAGTCCCCAGTCCACTTCACCTCAGCAGCAAAGATCACCTGGATCTCCACAGCAAGTCCGATCAGCAACAGGGTCCTCTCCAGTACAGGCTTCCAAGGCAGGCGTGTTCCCTCCACAGCAGCCTAGACCTCCTGCTCAAGGCCGGGCTCCTAGCCAGCCAAGCCCCACTGAAACATCCAAGCAGCAAGCCATCCCACCCCCACATCTGAAGTAGGTGCTCATTAAACTGCTAATATCTGCAGATAGTAGAGTGAGGCTGTCAAAAAAGTAGCCTGAGTTGGCATGAAGAACTTATCACCTGTTGTCAGGCCGCAGTGCCACAGGTAGCAAAAAAAGCACAGGAGGAAGTGGCACTACTCATATATATATATATAAAACTCCAGATGGCAAATCTATGTTTAAATGCTCATTTGGAACAGAGCACACCACTGAATTACTGTGGATCTTCGGTAGAATCTTTGCTGCCAGCTTTCATGGAGCATATCTGGCTGGCACCATGGCAGAAAAGACTGGCAAAAAAAAAAAAAAGTTTGATATTGACAGAAATTTGATACAAGAGCAAATTGGCATGAACAGGCCAGAACAAAGTGCAGGCTAGGAACAAGAAAGAGTTTCTAGGCAATAAAGGAGTAACGTTCAGGAACAGGGTTTCAGTGGTGATGTCTACATTAGCAAGGCAAATGACGAGCAGTGTATTTCAGCACCAAAATGCTGGTGCTAAGGATGCAGTAGCTACACTACAGATTTCAGGTACTTTAACTCAGAGTTTGGTCTTGTGCTGAATGCCTATTACAGACAAGGAGAATCCACTCAGTGACAAAGACAGGAGCAGGAAAAATTGGGAGCATTACTTCAAAAGCACAGTTCTGATCTGAACTTAAACACTAGCAGATACATGAACAGCAAGAGCAGTGTGAGCAACCAAAAGACCTGCACAACACAGTTGACAGTCAGAGCAGACATACCAGGGAGGGCAGGCAAGAGCACACATTGCAGGGGTCATGGCTACCAACTTGCCGAACCGCTCACACTCACACAGGTGAAAGGGCAGGACCATCATTCATGGTATGGCTGATAACAGACAGGTGACCCTCAGTATGAATCCATTTGTCTGTATTTGTAGTAAAAAAGACTTAACTGTTCCTCACAATAGTTGCACCAAATGGCAATTGCATACTTTTTGTGAGATGTTTTCATAAACACTTACTAGTCTGGACTGTGATACTGGAGCCACCTATCCACATTGCGTCCTCTTCCACACCACCTCACCTCCTCCACTGCTGAATGGAGATTCTCCTTGCTAACCTATCCTTTAAGCCTTGAATATGTCTGTGTGATGGAACACAAAGTGTCAGTAGCCAGATTTGAACCTTCTCGTGCTGAGTCTGAACTCTTTTCCATTTCAGCAAATCGCAGTCCCTGACAAACACCTTCAGCATATCTGAATCATCTCAGCGGGGAAATGCCAATGAAGATGAAGCAAAAGCTGAGACCATCCGCAACCTGAGGAAATCATTTGCTAGCCTGTTTTCTGATTAACAGCCCTACAGCTGGATCTGTGCTTTTGTCAGCTGTCACTCTTCATATCAGCGTAACTGATGTCATCTGGAATACACTCAACGGTACCCAGTGATTTACAACTAACACCAGGCTAAAGGGAATTTAGAAAACTACAGTTGTTTTAATACAAACAAAATATTATAATAATGGTCTGAAAAGTGACTGTATAAAAGCGGCACTATTTCATTGGGTTTTGTGCATAATCAGAAACACATCTGTTCCAATGACATTTACTTTTGCCAACCCCTGTGGAATCAACACAGTTACAACAGTGCAAACTAGAATTAATTTTGATTTGCATATAGTCAATACACTTGCTAACTTCCAGTCATTGCACCCTTGTTGAGGTCAAGTGAAAAAAAAAAAAAAATAGGCTTATTTCAGAAACAGATGTGCAAAGTCAGAGTCAAGAATAAGTATTCATTGACTAATAAAGCAAGCATGTTTGAGCACAGAAACACAGAGAACTGTGAAACTTCATGATACCAACTTCAGAAGTCACTTTTCAGAGCAAAACTCAGTACCAGGTATTAGTGAGCACCCAAGATCACATGAGCAGGTCATCCAGGTGGACTGCTGGTTTGTTCCAGATCACCCTGCTCACAGCAGGTAAAACTTTGTTTCATGACTTGCATTTATGTCCCCTGCACATGATTCCTGAGTTCTGGGAGAAAAATGTTATCTTCTAACCCTGCAGCCTTAGCTCAAAAATAACCTGATAAATGGGTCTTACACACACAGAGGGGGGAAAAAAAAAAAAAAAAAAAAAAAAACCACACCACCTTCCCCTGCTCCTGGAAAAAACAGAGATCACACTCACAGTTCACACAAATTCCAGACAAAACCCAGCTAAACTCCAAGCACTTTGTCGACTTGGTCACATCTGGCTAAGTATGTCCCCCAGGAACAGGTGTAATTAATAGCAGAGCTGATGAAGTGCACATACTTGTGTGCTGAGTGTTCCATAATACTGAATGGACAGAGAGATGGAGTGAAACCCTGACTCCTTCCTTGAACTCCTGTTGACTTCATTGGGGTGAGTGCAAAATGAATGCAAAGTGACAAGCCTGCAACAGAACAGGAAAACTCTCCTTTACAAATGATCTGGGGTCCACTCACAGACACCAAGCCATGGGAGGTCATGCATGGGATTGCCCCAAGCAGGCAATGATCAGTATTAGTATTCCCCAACCACTCCCTAGAATCATTCTTCCAGAGAAGACTGAGATGGATCTCTGCCAGGTGTCCTCTTCCTCTAAGACTGCAACACAGAATGAAGGTTTGTATGACCACATACACTAGAACTGAGACATGGCAAAACCCAGGAACGACACAAGCTACATTCACGACTGAAAAAAAACACCCTGGATGTACGAATGCAACCATGGCTACTTCTACCAGCTGAGAATCCAGCCCTTGCACTGTGCTCACTTGATTTATAACATACCAAATGCAGGCGTCAGGCCATCCCACCTTGACTTTCCTTCAAGTTTGGTTAATTATTTTCGTCACAAATCACAGCTTTCAAGCTTCACAAACTTTTGGCTTTGTGCTTCCCTTAGCAACTTGACTGTGACACTTAATGCCCAGAGAAGCAAGGAGCAAGCTAAAAACATGCAAGCCAACGGCACAGATCTTTGATGTTGCTTAGAGAGATCCACAAAGCAGCAAAAGTAACAGCAGCATTTACCACCTTGGATCTTGTGATTCACTGGCAGGAATAAAGCCAAACAAGATTCCTTCCTGTGTAGCACCTGTAAGGAACATCTAAATCAAATCCAGTCATCTGGACCTTATATGACCTACCCCAGAGCAGGCCTTCACACATCTAATGGCCTCTGTGATCTGTGCGCTTTCAGGCAAGTAACAGCATAGCTTTTCCAGGTTGGAATGCTTTTCAGAGACTCATCTGGATCAATGATTTATATCTCAAGTTCCCTATTATAGAATCATTCTATTCCTTGATGATATTTTATTTTCAGTTCTGTGTTGTCCTTCCAAGTTTGCTGAGCAGTTTACACTGTAGCATCATGAATCTATGTCACTGTCTGAGAAAAAACCCAGACCCTGCTGTTTTGCAGTCTCCAGGAGCAATAAAAGTGACAAAATGTCTTGAGCAAGCACTGCCCCACTGGCAAGAACAATAGCAGATTAACAGGCTCCACTAAATAGAGAGGAGGTAATACAACCCTCGTGGGAGAGGATTTCCTTCTGTAACACTTCCCTCAGCTTGGCTTATGCCTTTCCCAACTAAATGGTCACCAGAGATGCAAAGACAGAAATAAAAGTTCACTGCCAGAATCCTCAGTTGTTCTATCCCCTGAATCTTTTTATGCCTTTCTTACCAAGACAACCTATACAAAAAATAAGTAACTAGTGAGTAGAACAGCACAGCCTCATTTATCACCCACAGCTCATCACTGTAACCACAATGGTTAAATCATTTGGTGATGCTGCATTTGAACACAACAGGGCTGTCCTCCAAGGGACCACAGTAATAGGACGGCACTGTTGACTTCATACCCAGCAGTGACTCAGATCTCTCCATTTGCCTACAACCTTCCAGCTGCCATCTTTCAAGGGACAAGCAAACAGAATGGCATGGTATGCCCCCTCCTGCTATCACCAGCCTGCAAAATCAAGTAAAAGCAACAGGCACTCTCAGTTTAACTTGGGTACTCCCTGGTTTCTGAAAGGCTTCAGTTCTACCCACAGAAGTGCTGTAACGAAAACACTGAGTTGATTTCCTACGTTAAAATGATGAATCTCTCTACTATGTCTTACAAATGTTCCAACAGTACACTTCAATCTACAACTGTGATGCTCACAGACTAAATGTGGTGGCTAGCAGGAGATCCACAAATACATTGTCATATATTCAGTTTATCACCTTTGATGCAGAGTTTCTACCCCAAAATCTCCATCATCTAACAAAGCAAAAGAGAGGGCGAATACAATGGGTGTAATCTCCACTTATATGAATGGGAAACTAACATATACATCAGAGATATTTACCTAAATAACAGATAACAGCTGGATTTACAGGCAGTAAAAAGGCAATAGAAAAACCTTTTGAATAGAAGGTATATTCAAATCACAGGGCAGACATGCCCCACTTCATGCCTTGGGATCTTTCTCAGATGTTTGTGAAAATTGAGCGCCTGGTCAGAGCTTCCCTTTTGTCCTGCATGTTTTAATTTTCTTCACATGGAAGCCAGGAAACTAACAGATCTTTATGTTTGGATCCAGCCCAAGGAGCCAGGACACAGCTATGACACCAGCTCATATGCACCACCTGGAAAATTACTTTACATTTTGCTATTTAGATACACACTGAGAAATATCTTGACTTTCTTGTAATATCTAGGTGTGGTCTTTCAAGAGGAAGGTCACCTACATTCCCATGCAACTGAAAGTCTTGTATAAAGCTAAGGTTCAGAACAACAGCAGTCCTGCTCATAGCTGCAGCAGTATTTTCTTCTCTTTCACTAGTCACAAGCAGATACAGAAGACCTTACACCCTGCACATGACCCAGTTACTTCATCTGGTTGGTTGAAGTTTTGTGAGCAACTGAAAACTAACTAGAAAAGCCAAAGACAATAGTTCCTTATTTCCAAGGGACTGTTAGTAGCAGAAATTCTAACAATGCTGGATACAGATGAAACATGACAGGTGACAAATGCCCATGTTCAGGTATTTCATCTTCTGTGATTTCTCTTCTATAGAGTTTAAGAACAGCAATGAGACACATACCTGACTTAGGAGCTGGTGAATAAACAAAATAAGCATATTTTTCAAATATTTTCTCTGATTTGGCTTCTAATTTTATACTGTTGGTCCTGAAATATTCACTTTATATTCCATACCCTGCTTTATGAAAAAGGGAACTCCTCTTTAGGGAACCTGACAGTTCAGGGTAAGTCAGGTTCCTTTATCTTTGGTTTACAACACTTTTACTACAACGTGAAGGAACAATGGAGAACAGGAAGAAATATCTTCAGGTCACCTAGTGGTGTGCCTGTAAAAAGGCCGAGTTCATCTTCTCAAAAACAAACATTCAAATGACAAAGTCCAGGATAAGCAGAACCTGTGGCATCAGCCTGGCAAAAGTATGACAAGGTTGTCTTCATGGCAGAAAGGGCCCAACTCCAGAGCAGCATGGGGCACACCAGCAGAGCAAGCAATGTGACTGTCATCAAGGCACTGGTAATGTGAGAGCCATGGGCACCACAAAATTAACATGTATCACACAGAGATCACTGTTCCCAGAAACAGCTTGAAAAAAAGTGAAGAGAGTTAGAAATTATTTTATCAGTTAAAGCTGTATAACCTGATCTGAATATTACATATGCATTTCTGAAGCACTCATCACAAGGACCAGTAGTGCAACACCAGAGTGTAGGTTTCCCTCTTCCTATTTATAGTCAGCGGAATATAAGGAATCACTGTATGCTCTAAGACACCTGAAAATAAATTTCACTCAAGTTAAAACTTTGTTGGAATGAGGCAATTCAACCACTGCAGGCAGTGTTAAAAATCAAGGCAGATCTCGGTATCGAAGTGAAACCAATGTCCCCAGGCGCTACAAATACATACTCTGAGGTGTTTAATTATATATGCCCTCAGTGTAAAGTAGAAAAGGGAAGAAAGCAGAAATACAACTTTTGACATCGAAATAAAGTATTATATTTCACTTTCACTGGAGTTAATGGCAATACTTCCTGACCCTGCTGAAGGCAGCTGACTTTATACATAAGAAGATGAATTAGTGAAACATCACCTAAAAAAGCACACAAGTAATACTGATTAAACAGCTTGTATTTAACAGGAAACGTCATCCCATTTCCACTACTGGAATTTCTAAGGTATTTAAGAAAATAATATCAGCTGTCTCAACAGTCATCAGTACCATTTACATTTATAGAAACACTGAGATCAATCTTAAAAAAATATGTAAGAAATGAAAGATTCTAGAAAAGTTTTGTCATTTCAGTCTTCCTTTAATTGAGCTCCAGCATCAGTCTGCAGATGTTATCAGAAGACTTGAACAGTGGTCTTATTAGTTGCTCATTAGTTAACAAGACAACACTTGAAAGGTGCTTATAACATGTTACAACACATTTCCTCTAGGCAAGATACATTTTGATATTCATAAAAGTGGACTTAAATGGAATTTACCGCAGTAAAGTAAGAATTCAATCTGCCTCTCCTGCTGTGATCCCATTTCCACTACAACCAGGTCAACCTGTTTAATACCTTAGGTAAGTTAGGCAGGAGGAGAGATTTGGTTTTGCATCAGTTTTAGTTCACACACAGTAAATGCAGCCATGTTCTACAGCTCCTTATTTGTAAAGCCGCAAAGAAAGACAAAAGTTTTGCTGCTGGTTCTTTGTAAAATTACTCTGCTTCTGTTCAGACTTCTGAGTTGCACTGTAGCATGATTTTACTCAAATGTTTGTAAAATGATTTGTGTTCTAATGTTTCCATTGTAAAGAAAAGCCCTTCCCTGTATTCTTTGTGTATTAAGTAACAATATAAAAATGCTTTTTACCTAATAAAACATTAAAGGAGAAAGAAAACGTAATCTTTGAAAATCTCTACAAACTCACGTCTATTATAACAGTGGTGGCATCCTGTTCTATGTGGAACATAGTGAACAAAGATCAGTAGCCAGGTAGATAGGAACAAACATTTTTCCTGGCAACTTAATAAAGCTCTTCAAATAAGACAGACAAGTATAGGGTATTTAAAGTGCTCTTTACGTGATGCAGCAAATACTTGGCCGATATCCTTCTGGTCACTAAGTAGCACTTCACAGATACTTAAGGGCAGGGCTGTGGGAGGAGGCAGGGAGCAGAACAAACTGTTCTAACGTGTAGCTCTCTGCAGAACAGAGCTTAGTGCCAGGTTGTCCAACACTACCAGGGCATAAAACAAAACCAGCCTTGTGGTTGAATCCTTACCACGCACACACGTTCTCACCACAAAGAAGGCAGGTGTTAGTGCCTGGGATGTGCCATCTCCTGCAGTTAGAAAGCGAGCGCAGGGACTAGAAAACTCACTGAAGGAAAAAGCATCAATCAAATGAACGCACGGCGAATGTCCGTGGGGCGGCCCCGGCCGGGTCTAGCTGGAAACCTGTCACTGGGACCAGCTCGTCCTGGCAGCGTAGGGCTTGCCCCGGGCAAGGAACCAATCGGGTCAAAATGTGGTCTGAATGGAGGAAACTGGCCTGGTGCTTCTTCTGGGCCAGGAATGAGTGAGTTAATTGGGTCTCCAGCATAGGGGAGTGTTGGTCTCTCATCATACTCTCCACCAATCATCATTGGGGGATAGATTGGGTTTGATGGAAATGGATTAGGAGGAAAGGGATTCGGATAGAATGGGTTGCGATGAAAGGGGATTGGATGAGGTGTAGGGGGCAGAAACATCATGTGCCTCCATCTCAGGGCCTCCTTCTTCTGTTTCAACTTTTTCTTGTATAGCTGCAGACAGAAACAAAGGCATTTTAAAACTCTTGAAGTGCTCTGTGTTCCAGCTTCAGCAACTGCATTCAGTTCTCAGAAAAGCACTCCTCACCAGCCTGGAACCCCAGAACAGCAGCTCCCCTGCCTGTCAAAGGCCAAACCCAGCCTCTCTGGAATGCAACTTGTTGATGTTGCTTGCTCTCACTCAGACCAAACTCAACACATATACACAGAAAACCATACTTTTAAACTGAAATTTAACTCAAAGTTACTGCCTCCAAAAGTCTAAGTTTTATCCTCAAATTAGCCCATGGAGACCTATCTCAGAGAGATTACGTAAAAAAGCCACCTACTTCTTTCCAGTCTGTGTCACGAGGCCTTGCAATAAGATCTACAAAGAGAAGTAAAACAATTAAAGAGAGCAGTCCCTTATCTTTAAGCAGCATTCATGCCACCAACACCCACATTTTTGTCAGAACTTGAAGAACCACCAGGAGGTGAGAAAACACCTTTGATCAATAGGTTTTCCATAAAGATAATGCATCTTAAAAAATATAAAGCTCCAGAACCATTCAACAGATAACCTACTTGTACATCCCTTCTACATAAAGCATCAACTCCAAAACCTCCTAAATAAGTAGAGAAATTCCAGAAACACTGTCTACATCTTTGAATTCTGACGGAACTTCCCTTGATCACCACATTTCTTCAATCTCTTGAGAGACTATACCAGGAATAACTCTTCACTTCCTAGTACTTGCAATAGCCAGGGTAACAGATGAAGCAAGATGAAAGTATGCACCAGGTGATGGTAACAACTATAGTGTCCATAAGTAATGGCTCAGCAGATTGTCATTAGTTTTCATGGCAGAAAACTGTGTATCCACTTGAATCACATCTGACCAACTGTAGTGGTCAGCATCACATATGACTGCATTTACTCACGGAGTTTAAAAATCTGAACCTGAGGAGCCTCTTATCAAAATCTGCCAGACCTAATCCCTCTATGCATATGAAAATGGCATTAGAAAAACGTGTCTCAACATTACCTCGGAAGTCTCGCAGATACATAAACCTCCAGAGAAGCTGGTCATTTGAAGCTGTGTAAAGATCGTGGCAAACAGCAGAAAGAGAGATGAGTGAGCGGACATCCAGGAGTCTGAAAATCCGAAGCTTGAGCTCAAGAGGAAGGACCACTAATCCAAACACGTCTGGCAAGTTCAAAGCTACAAAGTGGAGGAAATAGAAGCGTTACCCAAGTGAGGCAGAGTTTACTCTATCTCTGAACACCCTAAAAGAAAGGAAGGACATTATAATCTTTCCCTTAAATCATTTCCCTTTGATGCCGAAGTTACGCCACTTTTCTCAGAAAGCACCATGATCTTCTAGAACAGATTCCTGCAACGTTAAGGACATTTACAGAGTTCACAAAATGGGACAAATGGCACTTTATACTGACTGCTATTGGTCACTGCAAGCCTAAGAAATGTTCCACACACCTAACTATATTTGTAGGCTACAGAACAAAGGGGTAAGTAAAGAAAAAGACCTGCCCAACTTCCTAAGGCCTCAAAAACCCAAACAGAGCACATGCTTCACATAAAACCTTCCCACACTGCAGTCTAGAGGAAATTCCATCAAATAGTCTTCAGAATAAAAAGCTGAGACCTTTTATGGCAATATCTATGCAGAGAAAGCTTGACATCCTACTGCTCCACAAACACCAGCTTAGGTTACTTTCTACCATCGTTTCCAAGCCCTTGATGATCAGTCACTGAGAAGATCATTCCTGGGTTTAGTTTTCCAAGTATGATGCTACGTAATTTTTTCTGCTTTGACAAAGAAATGAATCAAAACTACAGAACTACTGCCACAAAACTACTGTGGTATGATTTTCTCATCATTAAGTGTGGAAAACCACCACTGCAGTCTCCTAAGTGAGACTAGAGTGATCAACAGTTTAAACCAGGAAATTATTGTTATAGCAATATTTTCTGAGATATTAAGGTTAATATCATTTCTTTAGAAGGTATTAATTACTTAATGCTTACTCTTAATATACCCATCACTAAACACTTTCCCACAAGGCTTTACACAGACCCCCTTCTCTCCATCCTCAAAAATGAAGTATAATTTCTAACTGTCAGCATTTTCTCTCACCTTGTCGGGCAGCAGCCAGAAGAGAGTGAACCAGCTGGTCTTTAAAGAGACGGGATAATTTCTGAAGGTCTTTGTAAACACCTGCAACCTTTTCTATCAAAGAGAGATAAAAAGCATAACTTCAGGAGGTTATAATGCAAACATTATTAAAAAACTTAATTCTTCTGATTTTATGTAAGTGGAATTGTAATCTGCTTGTAATCTTGATGGGATCAGCAAACAATCATGCAATAAGTAATTCATAACAAACTACAGACCAGTTCTACAGTCAGGCTAGGCCTTCCTTTGGCCTTAAAAAGCACTACTAAGAGAAATACTTGAGTTCTGCAGAAAAAAAACTGACTCCCAAGCTCTGAGAGCTTCCTTTGTCAGATTTCAAAGCTCATGTGTGACACACACCTATGTAGTGAATGTCTGCAATAGTTAGTTATCTGACAGCAATGTTTCTCCATTCTGTTGTCTGAAGAAAGAGGAGCCAGAAGACTCCACCTTTATACCAGACACACTTCAGTGCTCAGTTAATTCTTCTAAAGCTTTTCAACTAGACTTGTACAGCAGTGACTGGGGTTAGCCAGGACACAGCATAGGACACTGAGTCAGCCTCAATCACCAACAAAGCAGTTCAGATCCTTCAGAGAACAAATGGCCAGTCAGATCTGTGTTCACAAGGATACACATCCATGTGCACTTCCCTCCTCCCCTACCTTAGTTTTCTCTCTTATTTTGGCATTCTGCAGAGAGTTACATGGTCAGCACGTTTTCTGACAAAAAGAATGTAACTATTACAGTGCCACAACAGTGCAGGCACCATCAGCCTCTTAAGTCCTGAACTGCCAAGCACAAGGCAGGAATAAACCCGAATTGCTGCCCCAGACATTCACACACATGCTTAGGGCCTCATAAATAACAGCTATATAGGCCAAAGGATGACTCTGTCTTTGCAAAGTTCTTTCCTTATGTAGTTAATCCAGTAAACTCAAATAGTTTCAACAGCACAGCACGAGTAAATGGCTACACTCAGAATTCCTTTTACCACAAAGCTATGACTTGCCTAAACACATTTTATTAGTTTTGTTGCTATTCTTTACCTATTTGGTCCTCTACTGAAGTATATCCTTTATCACTGTGTGACTTCCTTACTTCTCAGTTTACTACTATGAATACCGTAACTCACCTGGCTCCTGAAAGCAAACAAAGGATGCTGGCAATAGCTGTATTCTCTTAACACTTTTAATCTCTTTGTTGATTTTTAAAGTTGCTGCAAATAAGGAAAAAAAAAATACATTTTGAAATTTAAAACACATTGAGAGGTGACCAAGATCACTTCATTACTGCCTTATCCTTTGGAGGTGTTTTACTTTCATCCCTTATTGCAGTCCCTCAAGGGAAATACCCAACTATAGCAAGAGGCTGGACAAATCAAAGTCACTGGAGAAAATCTACCTCTTAACCTTTGGCAATGTATACCAAAGTTCCTATGAAATCAGACAAGAAACAGATTTCTACAGCATTGCAATGCAAAGGCCAGCTGAGGCCCCTGAAGACTGATCTGCTATGGCTAGAGGGAGAGAAACAGATAACAGAGAGGCAGGAATTGCCAAGAATATTCTGGATCAGGAATTGGCATCTCTTACACCTCAGTAACCTGGATAATCAAGATTCGGTTCTAAACAGAGTGCACAAAAGCACATTTTTCTCTTGCTAAATAATGGTGGTTAGCAATGTGCATCCAGGATAAAAACTTGACTAACTTACCGTTAATAGCAACAAGATCTCCCAAAGGCACACACGTCAAACCAGCAGAACCTTCTTCACAAAGGGGGTGTGTGTACTGCAGCTTATAAACACCATTCCCTCTCCATTTCTCTGGCATAGACACTGCCTTGGCTTCTGTCCCCTAAAAACACACAGAGATAACACTGCCATCCTTTAGTAGTGTACTGAGGCTCAGGGGTGAAAAGAGAGAGAACTGGAAGTTAGGAAATGCCAGAATGCTGCTTGCAAATTTTAGTTTCATCCCAATGTCCATTACAATGACACAAACTGTAACTGTGTGATTGTACACTGTTTTTCCCAAGACTAAAAGCAAACCCAAGGAGCAGTATTTCATTCTGTCATTTATTCCAGCATTCTGACAACCCCTGCATGTACACTCATTTACTGGATGAAAAACATGTTATTCCACCTTTTCTGTGGCTTACGAGGTCTGACAAGGCTTGAAGAATCATAGCTTGAGATCCATTCAAATATCTGAGTGGACTAACAGGTTTTCCTTTCAGTTTCTGCATGAAAAGACTCAGATGGAATCCCAGAGAGGGGCACAACATAATCACAAGTTCAAGTAGACTCTCTCTCTTTCCTCTTAAATCTGCACAGCAATCATCTTCCCTACTTCCAAGTCAACTGATTGATATAAACAAGCTCTCTTCCCAGTGGCAAATGTGTTCTTCAGGAAGCAATTCTGGCTACAGCAATGCAATTCACCTAGCAGATTTATTAAACTGGTATTGGTCAACTATACATGTAAACTGACCCCCTACATGTGTGTAGCCAGCCTCACTACACGAAAAAAACATGAGAATTTAAACACCCACCCTGAGAGCATATATTTTTTTGGCATGTTTAGCCACACATTAGCAAACATACAACAGAAATCTGAAAATCTAAAGGGAAGAAGTGAATTCATATATTGTACAGAGGTGCTACTGTAGGTGCTTGACTGCAAGTACAATACCTCTGTAGATTAGTGGAACCAAAGCCTAACTGAACTCAGCTGAAACTAATATGGATTTGGAGATAACATTTTGTCAGACCTAGGCCTTGTTAACCACCACTTGAACAGGACACCACTGAGATAATACGGATGGTTAAAAGAGAACTTCTTTGAAGTGCTACAGTCTAAGCACGTCTCCACAAGGTCAACAGTACAAAGCAGAAACAGGATGTTATCAGCAGGGTCCCGGCGAGGCTAAGGACTGAAAGAAACACAGGGATAGGCCTCTTCTCTCACACCTAAAAGCTGCTCTAGACCTTACCCCTCAGGCTTACTGGTCAGGCAAATTAGAAAACTGAAACTCCAGCAGCCCCTGCTGCTGATGGACACATCCGAAGCCAAAACTGGATCTTCAGATGCATCTTGTACTGCACATTCCCACGATATTCCACAGCTTTCTCATACTGACCAAAAACTTCCTGATGGGTTGTGCACCTACCTGAGGTACATAGCCTGCCTCCATCATGAGAAGATGTACTAGAACAATCAAGGCATCAGTGGCACTGGTACATTCAGCAGAAAGGTAAAGCATCTCTAAGGAATGTGGTATTTCACCATCAGCAGCTTCACTGCACAGCATGGGTTCTGAAGGATAGGAACCTGTTCCTTCTTCCAAGTCAGCCTCTTCAGGGACTAATCCAGAAGAAAAGTCTAGGCTGGATCCTGCCTTCAAGGGAAAGCAAAACATACCTTCATCCAAAAAAATTACACCTCTATATACATCAATATTATTTGTCTGCTTATTCATCCTCACAGGCACCAAGTCTGATTTCTCATGCAAACTGTACAGATGTGCTACATCTCTATTTTCTATCATCCCAGCTGGAGATCAGGATTATATACAAAGCCTCTGTAACTTTTTATATTTACAATGCTAGCCCTTCATAAAAGCATCTGTCATTTGATTGCATATACTTGAAGACAAAGTGATAATATATTAGAACTTTCATCAGAATTTTCACAACGTACACAGTAGTAATTTACTTACTGTAGTACGACTGTTTTAAAAAATATAGCCAACATGCATGGCAAGTAACCAAAATCATAACGTGGACTGCTCAGAAACACAATAAACCTAAACCGTTAGCAAAAAAACGAAAAATATCAATGGAGTGTATCTGCTGACACTTGAGGAGCACTGTGGGTTTATTGTGGCTTCCTTTCTTCTACCAAAATCACAACATATTATCATGAACCGATAAAACTACCCACAGACACAGTAAAAAAAAAAAAAAAAAAAAAAAAAAAGTACTGAATGACAACCATAAGCAGATATCCCTAAGGCAAGGGTCAGGAAAGGGGAAAAAAAAGAATCTATAGAAGGAGTAGCCACCTGTCCCCTGTCTCTCCTACCTACACCCAGGGGCATGAAATACTCTTACATTTGTATGAGGCCATCATGATGGCATGGCCATCCTCCCGTGGAACTTCCTTTCTCTCACTAACAGCAATGCACATAACCCCACTCAAACTCAGATTCTCACAATTCTAGAGCTGTTCTACAATGACCTTTAGCTGCTTAGAAATAATCCCACCACCTTACACCACAGTTTTGGAGGAAAATGTGAGAATCTTTCACCTTGCCTTCAAATATTAAATATGCAACAGATACCTCTGCACAGCTCACTATGGTCTGACTGACAGACATAAGAAGCTTGGATGCCCAGAGTGACACGTAAGGATTATTAGTCATGACAAGAATCAACTGGACAACCATCCAACCACATTTTCTTTAATTACTTACAATTCTTTTTATCCTAAATCTTAATATACATTGAAATAATACTTTTAAAAGACCACTTATCCATATTCCTCAAAGGTTGTACCAAGGAACATTTTGTATTTTAAATTGCTTCCAAAACAAAAAACTACTTGCTTCCAAAGAACGTTGGAAGACAATTTCTCCCACCTTCTCAAGGTCCTGCCTAAAAAGGACAGGATCTCATCATAATGGGTTAGACCATGGCACTAGGTTTTACTCGCAGAGTCTCCTGCAGGAGGACTCCATCTGCCACAGGACTGCTGGGTGGTGGGAGCTGTTATCTCTTAGTTATCTGTTTAACTATTGGACATACTGTCACACAAAAAAACAAACTAGTGAGTAACATGCAAAGACCGTGCCTATGAGCTGCGTGATGCATACGAGGTCATACAGATGCACACCTGAGAAGCATGAAGCTGGAGCTATGGCAGCAACACCAGCCCCACGCACAAGGCAGACAGGTTTCACTCTATGGCAAGTCACCTGAAGCCCAGGGAGCTGTTATAAACCATTAGAAAGGAATTGTGCACTCATCTTGCAAGTGATGTTTCCAGCAAGCTGTGCCTGTTGCATTTATTCAGTACCTAAAATCAGTTTCCTCAAGAAGAGAGCACTGAGGCATGTAAAAAACAGAATCCTAACTTCCTTACAGGAAGTGCATGTTCCAGCAAGACAAAACAAAACATTTAACCCTGTAACAGCATTAGACCTGAAACATCCCAGGGTCTCTGAACTACCTTCTGCATCATAGATAATATACAATGAATACAGACAAACTTCCACCCAAATAACTGGCTATGTATCAGACAAGAATAAGGAGCCATATATTCTGAAGAGATCCTCTACTATATGGTACAGCAACTGACACAACAAGACACCTTTTTTGCCTTGTGTTGTACAGGGCAGTTCTCATGTACTCACCCTCTCGTCACTCTTCTGAACTTCCAACTGAGCTTCCTGGTTGTCAGATGGCTCATCCTGCCCTTCTTCTTTTGGACTGTTGGCCTGACTTTTGTTTGAGATCAAGGTGGATGGCTTATGACCATTCTGGAGTGGGGGAGGAGCAGAAGGAGGAGGTAGGTTGGGTTGTCCATCTGCTTCCTCTAGTAATAAGCATATCAAATCACCAGAAACAATCCCATATGAAGCTAAGGTCTTCTCATCATCCGAAAGAGCATCTTTTCTGTTCAATGTTATTGAAAACTTGGTATCAGGACTGAAAAACAGAAAGGAAAAAAAAAAAAAAAAAGGAAATATCCTGGCTGCACCTGGGTAATAGATTTAGAAATGCATACTGCATGTTACAATATGCCACAAGTTCTAATCCTTTAATAATTAGCTATATATTAAAGGAACAGTGAGGAAAAAAAAAATATAGTATGCAAGTATTTTCCCCATGTTTCTCTCCAAGTGTATTTTAAGTATCCATAGCTGCCTGATAGGTATAACTCCATTTACAGTAATTGCTCATAAAATAGTTATGAAGGAAAGCAAACAAGTGCCCTCCAAATGAGAGGACATCACACCTAGCAAAATAAGCTTTAAATAAACTCCTGGATGAGCTTATTTTAAAAGTGTCACAGATTCAACCACCTTGCTTTCTCATTAAGCAAAACATTCACTTCCAAAGGTTGGCAGCTGCCCTAAAGCATATGAGGGAAATAAGGAAAGATGCTTCAGGCCAAGCACTGACAGAAAAAAAAAAAAAAGAAGAAAAAAAAAAAAAAAAAAAAAA